TGCCTGCACACAAACTCACAAACTCGTGCTGGTCAAGGGCCCGAGAGTAATATACCGTACACACACACACACACGACAAAATCAACGAGCCAGTTCACAACAGTTAATTAACTTAACTGTTTATTCGCCAAACACTTTGGTGTCATCTCAAAAAATAATTTAAAATATTACTGTAATAAAGCCTTCTCTTGTAATGAAAGAACGTACCAAACCATAGTCATTCTTAAAACATTGTAATGAGTGTTTAAAGCTTAAACATAAAAACCCCACGAAACCCGTTTGTGTGAAACTCTACAGCGATGTACAGTAAATATACACGTTATCTCAGAGATAATTATTGACTGGCATGAAGAAACGCTGAATAATAACAGCTGGCTTATTATGCATACCCAACACAGCGTATTGCTGCCCATGTACATCCTCTAAAGATCAGATGTTCTCCTTCAAATTCAGTAATCTTTGTGCATGCACAACCAACACAAACATTATATAAGGCTGTTGTTTTAAGTATTGTATATACCTTTCATCAGTGATAGTTATCTACTGTAAGTTGACGATATAGTGAGGGAAAAAGTATTTGATCCCCTGCTGATTTTGTACGTTTGCCCACTGACAAAGAAATGATCAGTCTATAATTTTAATGGAAGGTTTATTTGAACAGTGAGAGACAGAATAACAAAACAAATCCAGAAAAACGCATGTCAAAAATGTTATAAATTGATTTGCATTTTAATGAGGGAAATAAGTATTTGACCCCTCTGCAAAACATGACTTAGTACTTGATGGCAAAACAATCACAGAGGTCAGACGTTTCTTGTAGTTGGCCACCAGGTTTGCACACATCTCAGGAGGTATTTTGTCCCACTCCTCCTTGCAGATCATCTCCAAGTCATTAAGGTTTCGAGGCTGACGTTTGGCAACTCGAACCTTCAGCTCCCTCTACAGATTTTCTATGGGATTAAGGTCTGGAGACTGGCTAGGCCACTCCAGGACCTTAATGTGCTTCTTCATGAGCCACTCGTTTGTTGCCTTGGCCGTGTGTTTTGGGTCATTGTCATGCTGGAATACCCATCCACGACCCATTTTCAATGCCCTGGCTGAGGGAAGGAGGTTCTCACCCAAGATTTGACGGTACATGGCCCCGTCCATCGTCCCTGTGATGCGGTGAAGTTGTCCCGTCCCCTTAGCAGAAAAACACCCCCAAAGCATAATGTTTCCACCTCCATGTTTGACGGTGGGGATGGTGTTCTTAGGGTCATAGGCAGCATTCCTCCTCCTCCAAACACGGCGAGTTGAGTTGATGCCAAAGAACTCCATTTTGGTCTCATCTGACCACAACACTTTCACCCAGTTGTCCTCTGAATCATTCAGATGTCCATTGGTAAACTTCAGACGGGCATGTATGTGCTTTCTTAAGGGGGACCTTGCGGGCGCTGCAGGATTTCAGTCCTTCACGGTGTAGTGTGCTACCAATTGTTATCTTGGTGACTATGGTCCCAGCTGCCTTGAGATCGACAAGATCCTCCCGTGTAGTTCTGGGCTGATTCCTCACCGTTCTCATGATCATTGTAACTCCACGAGGTGAGATCTTGCATGGAGCCTAGGGCTCCATGCAAGATCTGATCTCTGTGATTGCCAATAAGGGTTTTGCCACCAAGTACTAAGTCATGTTTTGCAGAGGGGTCAAATACTTATTTCCCTCATTAAAATGCAAATCAATTTAGCGTTTTTCTGGATTTTCTTGTTGTTATTCTGTCTCTCACTGTTCAAATAAACCTACCATTAAAATAATAGACTGATCATTTATTTGTCAGTGGGCAAACGTACAAAATCAGCAGGGGATCAAATACTTTTTTTTCCCTCACTGTATCTAACACCACTGTCAATGTTTTAGGTATATTCCCTCATGATGAAAACTAAATATCAAATGAGGTGTGAAACCTCTTCCAAACAACATTTGTGAAATATTTAAAGTACTCAGTAAGCAAAGTATGACACGTATTTCTACGAGCGTAAAAATCAGATATATATTTTATGCAATGACAGGGTTTCAAAATTCAACAATCATTAAGGTGGGTTATACTTTGTAAATGACCTGCACCAACTAAAATACGAAATCTACACCCAATAAAACAAGACTTTGTAGCAGTTCTATTTCACCGGTAGTATGCACACTTGTGTTGTAATGAGCATGCCTCCTCTTACAAAATAAAAACACCACATAAATGTTTATTTATTGAATTGCAAGACCAAGATAGATGTAGTTTATTCCATTTTAATTACAGGTATTTTTTTTTACTAATCTGCAATGGCATTCATCCCACATTAGCCGATGCAGTTATTTTTAAAGACTGTTGAGTATTTTAATCTCAGCAAGAAAGTTAATTGAGCAATTTCTTTAAGCCCAAATGGCAACTATCACTGCATAAAATGACACTCGCAGTCCATTACGTTATCATAAAATGTCTTGAGAGGTTAAGAATGCTCTTTGTGGTCTTGTCTTTACAACTTTGCCTAAGGGAAATTACATCATTGCGGGGAGTTTGCAGGCTGATGTAAAACATTTAATCTAACCCATCTCCTTTACAAATACGAGTTTGTTTAAACAGAAAACAAGATGCATTTGTGTTAATATAAACTACAAAATACAAACATGTAGCAACAGTCTCGGAATCAGTTTGTATTGCAGAAATACGTTATAGGTTTATGTGCGCCCAACCAAAACATACATAAGGTTGTTCTGTTATACAAAATTCAACATGCCATCGTGATATTTTAATACATTGACAAAGTATTTTAACACCACCACTGTCAGTGTTTGGCTGTGATGATCAAAACGCATTCAGGTTTACGTAGAGTTTCGCCGCCGTTGTGTTGTCTCCCCTGATGTGTTTTGGGGATGTACTGTGTGTTGTTCAGCATGTCCAATGTTTCGCTCCACGTGCTGTGGTGTTTTAGGAACTCAATTTGAAGCACCTGGAGGGAAACGTCATTCATGTCAGGCCATACAAAATGTTAACTCCAACACACCTCGTTCAGCAGCTTGCATAAAAAGTTGGACGGTCAATTTCTACAGCCGCATGAACAACATCTGTGAAGGAATTAGCAAGAGTGCATATCTGCAAAAAAAATAGGGACGGTGATGTAATTTTCAAACTTAATTGCAAGCCAAAGCTCAAATTATGTGAAAATATCCACAAATTATAAGGGATTATACCTACTGAGAAACGCATGCATTAAAATCGATCATTATGTATAATTTAATGCATTTTAATGTCTGAACTCACCGTGTTTTAGATATTTGCAAGTGACCATTACTTTCTAATGCAAGTGCACTGCAGAGTAAATCTTATTTGTAGGAACCAGCTAAAGATGAGTGGGTATATGAAGATGGTAAAAAAGTAATTTACCAGAGAAGACCAAATTTTGCTTTACAACACAGGAGAAAAAAGCAAAGAATATGGTATCTTATTCTTGGTTCTTTCAGTAAAGTCACGTAGAAGGGAAACAATAAAATAATAAAAATATAAAACAATAATATTCGCACGACGTTTCGACTGCAACACAAGCAATCATCATCAGGTGGGAAAACCACAGCAAGAAAATTTGAAAAAAGTGACGGGTTTTTTTTACGTTAGCACCACGGAGAGCGATTTGGCAGTTACTCAGATGGACGAGTCCATCTATGTTCGGAAAAGAGGAGGGGGGAGACGAAAATAATGGATGCGGTCTGAAAGCCGCCGTAAGCGTGAACAATCAATTAAGACCCGAAATGTGTTTATCAAATCCTCTCATGGTTCTCTGCAAGCCATCTGGCTACCATGAGAGATTCGTTCATGAGGCTATTCACATATAGAGAAAATTTCAACCAAGTAGATGGATTCTGGCTTAGCAATCATTGGAAGGATTTGATCAACCATTTCGGGTCTTAATTGTTCACGCTTATGGTGGCTTTCAGACCGCATCCATTATTTTCGTCTCCCCCCTCCTCTTTTCCGAACATAGATGTACTCGTCCATCTGAATAACTGCCAAATCGCTCTCCGTGGTGCCAACGTAAAAAAACCGCCACTTTTCAACATTTCTTGCTGTGGTTTTCACACCTGATGATGATTGCTTGTGTTGCAGTCGAAACGTCGTGAGGATTTTATTGTTTTATATTTTTATTATTTCATTGTTTCCCTTCTACGTGACTTTACCGAAAGAACCTAGAATAATAATCCCTGCAGTCACGAAAGCTAAATCAAAATATGGTATCTATTCAGCACCAACATCACTGTAATGTTTAATGAACTTTGTAACTTCATATTACATTCCAAGTGAGTGTTTATAAAGGGCCAAGTACTGTAAATACTTTTCACAATTACATGTATTTTGTGCTACAGATAGTTTGCCAGAACTGGAGTATATTATTGGAACCAAGACCAAATTAAGTGTGAATTTTGCCTTGTATGCAAGGAGGGGGGTAAATATTGTATATGCATTATACTCAACTAAAATTCAACACGACACTCAAACCCTACCATCATGTGTATTCTGTCACAATACCGGCAGAGTTGGCTCACATTAAAAAAAAAAGTGGCATTGCAATAACAGACTTTTTGCCCACAACGCTCCAAAGGATACTGTCATCAAAATAAAGATTAGGGCATGGTGTCTATATTTAAGAAACACAAACAATCCATCTGCCATTACAACTAAAGGCCAGTTTGACCAATGGCACGTGAAGCTCAGCCAGATGCTGAAATTTAAACTTACCAGAGAATTGCACACTACATTCTTGTAAATGCTTTAAATGTTATGCAGCATTGAGCTAGAATCAAGTATTGTGTAAGTGCTAATCTGCGACTGACACTAAACCACCAAATTATTGACCTTTGCAAGCTATTTATTTGCATTAACATAGTAAAAAATAACACTTTGTTGCAAGTGTAACATAGCAGTTGGAAAAATATGACTTTCATTTAATATCAAAACAATCCTAACAATATCTTTAATATGTAATGTTGTACAAATATTTATTGAAAAGGTGTTTGGCTATGCCTCCCAACAAAACAAATCGAGAGCTAGTGTAAACAGCAAAAAGTCAACAACCAACTCCTGACCGGTAGTCTGACATGGTACATAACTGGCCACGTATTTCATATCTGCATGCAAAGCCAGTTTCATTCAGTCGTAACAAAAAAACAGTTTTATTATTTTCAACAAGCAATTTTTGTATAAGTCTTCTTCACCATGTTGGTGCTGTTTACATACATATATTTAAACGTATGCATGTTATGTGTATTTCACATTCATGTTGAAAACCGTTAAATAAATGTGAAATCTATTAAAACAATAAACCAAAACACAAATGAATGACTGCACAACTTTTAAACTGAACCGACATAAATGTCCATAAAACATTTCAGCTCGTATTTTTCTGTATACTATAAAAATGTGAAACAGCTTAACAAATACAAGTGTACATGAATAGTTACAAATAATAAATACTAGATTTTCCATAAATTTGAGTGTGAAAAACAGCCTCCCATTAAACGTCTTAGAAACACTGCCATGAACCAAGCTGCTGGTTTGCCACCTTTGGACATGTAAATAAACGCATTACTCTCTCCAGCATTGCTTCATAATACATTGTTTGGGTCAGATGGTATGAATAAAATGTGTTGTAAACCCTCCTCCACTCAACACGGTCAATTAATAGAGTTATCACGTGAACAAAAGCGCCAACTTATTACTGCTTCAGCACACCAATGTGTTGGAGGAGCAATCTCACAACATTTAAGTGGGTGTGAAATTTTGCTGCCTGATGATGCTGGTGGTAAGTATCAGCAAAAAGTCGTATTCATTTTAATGTTGTGAGATTGCTCTAAAACACCCCGGTAGTGCTGAAACAGTAATAATTAACATTTGTTCACCTGACAACTTTCTCAATTGGCTTTGTCGGGTGGAGAACGATTTACAGCACACATTTTAGTTATGAGATCAGACTCAAAATATGAATTTGGCATTATATCTGGTCGTGAAAGCCTATGCGTGAAAATGTCTCCAGCCTAGTTTGCAATCTCAGAATCAAAGTTTGATTTAAATGGAAAGCATTAGTTGCCAAACAAAACGCAGAACTTTTGTTTATATACAGTTTGTGATTGTCAAGGGACAAGATAAGTCTATGTAAAATGCAACAACAAATAAATTGAGGACATAAATCTTATTTATATAGATGGGATAAATTATACATTGTAATGTTTGCCAGTTGACCTAAATTGTTCAGTGTAAAGAATACACAGTGACGATAACATACAGATATGAAAACAGACATTGTTGCAATGAAACTAAATTAAACTCTGGGTGTTGTAAAAAACTAGTTTGGAAATCTAAGTGGTCAGTTCACTCCCCTGAGCCAATTTGTATGAATTGACAGTCGAGTCATGTGGTTGCCTCAATCTGAAATCTTTTGTAGAGTATTGTTCAAAACAAATATTGCGTGACAATTTATAACTTAAACCTCAAACCATATTAACATTAACATATATCAAAACAAACACTGTTACAATGTAATTTAAAAATATAATCTTGATTCGTAAAAAAATATCGTGTTGGACTATCATCTGGTCGAATTAGGCCAAAAATGTATTTATGTGAAGTATCATTCGGGACCATGCACAGGCCCGTGCCTACTATTGGTCATCATTGATGAGACTAAGTTGGTGTAATGGAGACGAAATGAATGGTAAAATTTAAGTAAAACCGACATTCTGACGCTAATAAAGCAAGTCTGCTGGTTTATACAGACAATTACATAAGGAAACAAAAAACAAATGCCATCTGTTGACTGTGCAACAGCTGAACATTTCAAACCCTAACACCCCTATACTTATAATGATGCCTTGTGTTAACATGGCTGGGTGGGTCAGTACGTTGAACCGATGCCAGTGTCAAGGCACTTTGCTAAACACTGTTGAATTCTTCTAAGGTATGAGGATGGGCGACTCAAAGTGGAAAAACTTCTCGTGAAAAGAAAAGAGCTTGATGTTCTCAGCGTGAACACCAGTACATGTTTTCACACGGGAGGAACTTCACATAGCAATGTTGGCAAAAGTGATATCCCAAACGTTGTCCAAATCAATATCAAATGGGGATTAATGCGACTGAAAAAGTAATGGTTGTACACAAAAAACCTAAGTAAAAACAGTTTGTGATAAGATAAAAAAAATAAACCGAATTAACCACCTAAATGCACAAAGAAAAGGAAGTTGTCTCGAGTTGTGAAAGTGTAGCTTTCGGGATCATTCTTAAATGTGTTGTGAGACACTGATGGCAATCGGGATTCCTAATTGACTTCACTACATCGCTGTGTGCCTTGGTACCAAATTACATATTTGGGTTATAAACATGAGCAATCTGAAATTTATGACAAATTTTGTAATTATTTTGTGTTCGACTTTAAATTGTCACTTTCCACTTGTTCCTTGTGAAAACTTGGAATTAAAATTCCACACGTCCTAAACCGTCACACCTATATCTATCACACAAGAGTTTACACGTATTTGGTTGGCTGCTGCAAGCAAATTGTACGAGAGTTGTAAACTAATCTTTGCAAGTGCACTCAAATTTACATGACATAGGCTGGAGTTTGATGAAAATGGGACCAACACTAATTGAACAATTATATCCTGCTATAAAACAAAATATGCACATATATTAGCCTATACTTTGTAATAAAGTGCACATTAGTTTACATAACAAAGGGACAACGTGTGCTTGAAGGGACTAACAAAACCTGTTTGCAGCATACTTGGCTTAACCACCAAACTGGAAATGCTTCAAAACCAAACACAAAGGGCAGTATTTTTGTTTCTGACCACAACCCCCCAAATTAGTATTAATTTAAGTTAAAGTGCAAGACAGATGGTTACCACATCTGTAGAACTAATGATACCTTATAATACAATGGGGGAACATATGAATGTTTGTTGGAGGTACTGAGAGAGGTATGTGACATAGTAAACTCACAGACTCGATGACGTTGTAAATAAAGACTTATTATATTGCTTGTCGGCGGCTGAGGATTACAGAAGGATTTTGGTAACTTGGATCCCTAAGGGGATGCCGCAGGCGCCAACACAGATGGAGTCAGGAGATTCCAAAAAAAACAGTCAAGTATTGATCTGCCATGGGGTCTGACAAAAGTTGCTCTCAACGTGTGGACATTTGGTGGGATGGAAACCCATTCAAGATTAATTTTAATTTGGCCAACAGTTGAAAGTGTACTTTTTAATGAAGTGCCAGGGGTTTAACAGGTTAAATAGATTTTAACTTTTAGCAATAACCTCAAAATGTGTTATTTCCTACACATAACCACGACTTTCATTCTCTCATGGAACAAAGTGTCTATTCAGACATCAGCCGGAGAACTATTTAAATGATAACATTTTGCCAACATTTTACCCATATATACAAATTCAGACATATGGACACAAACAGAACAATAAGTGCCATAGCACAGTAATAAATAGGTATGCACAAATGAACCTGGAAACTTCCAAGTCACCACTTGGAGCCATGGAAACTCATATCCTACAAGTCCAAGCGGTCATCAGCACAGTGGCAGTCAAGACATACAATTCCCGGTGTTGCGTCCAACTAGTTTTGCAACTCATAAGACACCCATTTCCCATCATCTTCCTTCCTCAATGTGCAACTCTGGTAATTCAGAATAGACCACAGACTATTGGACTCAATTCACAAAATACAAAGGAGGCATCACAGCAATAAACTCCGCTACTCCTGAAGTGGTTGTCTGGCTCGGGCCCAGCTTGGTATAGAATTGTATTTGTTGCACTAGTTCTTAACTTATTTTCTCTGGCCTTCTTCATTGATGTCATTCATAAGAATCTCTGGATTAAAATTGCAGAGATAACAGGAGTTCAGCTTCACTCACCATTGACCCAACATGAGTGGTCAGGTGGTGGATGAATCACTGGAGGTAAGAATGGGATATGTACACTCGCATATTTGTTAAATGGTTAAGGCACTAATTGTTGCTGTCTTCTGTCTCCGAGTATGAATTTGTATACTATATAATTTTGACACACTACTTGTTCCGTAGGATTTTACTGATAGTGTGTGAGAGTAGCTGAATTTCATTATATGGGAGTGCAAGTGTCATTCAGACAGTAAAAACATCACTGCTGATAGCCTGGTCATAGCCAGGGTGGCATAAGAATATCTAGAATGTATGTGATAAAGACCATGCTCGGGAGAACTCAGAAAACGTTGCTTTGAGACAATGAAGGAGAAAATGAAGGTCAGTGTCAGCATGGAGTAGGAACTTGACAGAACATTTCAGAAACAATGGGCAAGAAGTGTCGACCCCCAACTAATGCGCCAAGGGATACCCAGAAACGTTCACATCAATAACAAGTTTGATGATAAAAATCTCAAACAGCCACCCACTGAGGATGCACAATACTTAAATCAAATATGAAGGTCATAGGCGACGGTTCTTAGCATCCAATACGGCATCACGCACCTGGAGATTGTAATCCCAACATATTTATAGCATCGTTCACTTTTCACTTAGCACCGTGTATACCTTTTCCCCCCATCTTCAAATATCTGTATACATTCATACCGAGAACAAAAAGCCCTGAATATTTCAGGGAAGCTTGTTTCTCATTGAATCCTGGACGACCATGACCTGGTGTAGCATTACAAACGAGCACAAGCTTGGTTACAATGTTTTCAACATGTGCAGTGTAACTTTCATTGACATGGCACAGATACTGGGGTCAATCGTAACGTTCGACGGATTTGGCCACTTTTTTAAGTCAAAGAGAACAGTCAACAAACTTCCACTACACAACAATCATTCATTTTAACCAGGTAAATTCTTACTGGAAATCATCACCTCCTGTGACCTGGTATTCATTGTTACGTGAATATTTCCCACAACTATTTACAGCTAGTTTTCAAAATCTTGAAATCTATGCTTTCACCAGCACAGTGGCCTTCTTTTGCAAACAATGTCACAGCATGGCCTAATTTTTCACATGCCGCAAAATATATTTTTCACTTTTCATCAAAACATGTGCTTGGGCAACTTCTATAATTAACAAATGGAAGTTCAAACCAAACGATCTAGTGCACTGAATTCTACCAAACACATGTTGAAACAAAAAAATCACATTAGGCAGCACGATCCCCTCTGCTGAACACCTTTTGCAGAGAAATAACGTGATGCTGGCCATGTGACAGCACAACTCTATGGGTTTAGTGGCCGTGTTTTTGTTTTGTCCTCTGTAGGAGGGGACTACCGCTGCAGGAAGCTACCTATTCAGAATACTCACACCTACGTACGCAGGCGCCGACATTGAAAAATTACAAACATTAACGATTTTTTTTAATCCAACCTGGTCTATTGCACAGGTAATTAAAAGTGCCCAACAGCCATTAAATTAGGCGAAACAAATGTTGCCATGCACACGTGGGGGAAAATCCTACACTGGGAGCCAGTTGTTAATGAAATGCATATTCAATTCAGCGGATGCAATCAACTTGTGATAAGAGAAAAATATATTCTCATGCTAGTTGCATTCTTCTTGATGCTGTATGCAGTGTGAATTATTTTGTCTGACCAAATTATCCAGAATTCGGCTGATTTGGTGATTTGTTGGGTCATTCAGATCTCAAACTAATCAGCGTTGAGCCTGGATAGTGCTTGGATGAGCGACCACCATGCACGCTAGGTTATCATAGGCAGCTGGGGGGCTGTGCTACATGGTGTTCAGCATAGGCCAGTGCAGCAAAGTAAGTTGTACTGTAATTCTATGTTCCTATGTCCATGCTCTCCGCCATCACCAACTCACACCGACCAGCATGGTGATGTATGATCATAAAACCCCCATAAGCCAATTTGTAAAAGGCATGATCTCATCCTGCAGTTTACTGAGAAAAGACCTGTGCATGTCCTTCGTTATACGTGCTTCATTTTTCGCCCACTTAAAGCCTGGTGCTGTGACCTATGGCATGAGGTATACACAAATAATTATTATAACTCGGGTATATTTGTCCCCCCCTACCCCACCAAGTATCTATCAATTTGCACCATTTCACAAGTGGGAAGAGATATGAAACAGTCTAGGCGATTGTGTTGCCTGTTGGAGCATGAATATTCCGAAATGCCCATGTTCGGAGGCACAGGGGGGATTTTTTAAAGTTCCTAGGTCCCCAGTTAAACAGCAACCACATACAAGGGCCCTGAGCATTATGTAACATGTTGGAAGTTGAAAAGTCATGCAAACAAGTAAATATTATTTGCACAACCTTGAATTACGTATCACTACCTTTGGTAAGTGTAGCGATGAATCCTGCAGTTTCAGGAGATATGAAGATTGTACAAATATAATAAGTCACGATAACAAAGACTTTTAAATTAGTTGAATCAGGTGCTTCTAGTCTGCACCAATTAAAAATGCCATTGGCCAAAAGGAAGTGGAAAAATCAGTGCCATACATGGCTGTCTCCCGAGCACCTACAGTGGTGTTTTGACCACACCACTCAAGGTAATCAATGCAAGCCAAGTCAGCTGTGCCGTGCGGTAGAGGGGGAATAGAAGTGACTTGCACAAGCTGCTTGTGCATGACATTGACATCCTCGGCTAACAAAGACATATAACTTTGGAAATAATACAATGCATTTGTATAAACATACGGAAAAATCAGTACAGTATCGAGTTGTTAGGAACATTTCTCTTTCCACCTTACTCACGAAATAACCGATTTTAAACCGAATATAACACTGGCTTTTATATAAAAACAATTTAAACTTTGTCAATATAGATAACTCCCTTATAAGGAAGGTTTACAACATTCTTGTAACACTGCATCCTATCAAAAGATTAAAAAAAAAAAAATGTATTAGAGTTTACATGCCTTAACATTCATGCTACTGAAAAGTAACAAACCTTTACAAATATCATCAACAAAACACTCAAAACTTGTATCAAAAGCTCCAATAACATTTCCCCTCCACATGCCATTGGTAAAGCCCTCATGCTCTGACCCTGTGCTGTAGTTGCTCAAACGAGCATAATCTATTATGTATTAGTACCAACTGCTGCCCATGAGGGGCGAAGGTCAGGCATGCCATTTCCTATCCTGTAGAGAAGCCGTGACCACCCACCTACCTGGGCACAACGCTTAAGCCAAAAAAGGCCAAACCTGTCCCGTCCTCGGCTCGAAAGGGCCTTCTTGCAATGCCACTGCACGGCCCACCAGCCATGAGCTATGCGTGCGCCTCCTCTGTCTTCACACGCGCCGCCTCTTGCCGTCATGCGCGGGGCTTCCCTCATCCGAGCTGCTGCCTGAGTGAGCGAATGGGTCGCCCCTTTTGGGGCGACTGCCCGGAGCTGCTCGGTGCCCACTCTTGCGCTGTGCCGCTCGGCGGTTCTCCTCCTTGTCCATCTCGAGCATGCGGGGCCTGCGTAAGGCACAGCGACGCGGAGTGAACCACGTGAGAGCAGAGCGACCGCACTCGTCTACAAGCAAACACGTATTTCTTGGTTCTCGCGGTAAATTCACGTAGAAGGGAAATAACACAAGCAATCATCATCAATTCTAGATTTGAAGCTTTCATCATCAGGTGTGAAAACCACAGCAATATTTTTTTTTTTTTTAAAGCAAACACGTGTTGCAGATCCAAGGGGCTTGCAGGGTACAAATTTCGCCACACGCTACAGTGGGCATCTTCAGGAGTTCAAGTGAGGAATCTCACCTCAATCTTAAATGTTGTCTGAATTGTTCCAATTAGCCTGCTGGCCCCAGGATTCCCATCATTGGATAGCGACTGGCTCGTCACTACCTCTATTCTGCTGGATTCTTTGTCCTTCGAATTCCTGATGATGCAAAAGCTTGAGAGAATCAACGTTCAATATGCGGCCTCATCTGGAAGACCACACCTGCATTACAAGTGACTCTAATATTTACGTGCTAATTGTAACCTTACACGAGCTCTAACCTCCTGAAAAGGAAGCACATGTGGTCGCATCTGAGTGCAGGGGTGGCCAAAATGCTTTTGGACGGCTAGATAAGGATGGAAATTGAGACTCCCTCTAAGGCCCCCTTGGCCTTTTCTGAAGTGGCCTTTGTATCTGAGGCCCAAGGCAAACTGCCCCATCTGCTCCTTTTTTCTTCAGTCCAGACTGTACGCAAGCATAACTCTATAAAGGAGCAACTAGAAGCCAATTAATAAATATTAGCCTCCCTTCACCTCCTTCACCAGAAACTCCCACGATAGACAGTCTGGGGCCCCCAAGACTATCACTCGGTGACGGTGAGGCTGCCAAAGGACAAAACCTCACCGATCATCCAATTGCACCTGGAAGGTCTGCTAAGGAATCGCTTTTCAGAGCACGGTACCTTGCATGTCATGCTTTTAATCTAATCAAAGGGAATGTCTCTCACATAGGTTCTGTCAGATGTAGCACAATGCTATATACAACGCATAACTAGACGAGGAGAGGCAGAGGACAGTTAATCTGCAAATTGGATAACGCGCATATGGATAATCGGGGTAACTGCAAATTAAATTATGTATCTTGTCGTATGAGTAACAGAAAACAAGTTAATTGTGCATGCGTGCGGACGTACTGCAGGAATGAACTCAACTATTTAAACTAAACTATTTTAATTTTACCAGGTTAGGCACACTGATATATATAAAGTAAAACCTTGGATTGCGAGTAACTTGGTCTGCGAGTGTTTTGCCAGACGAGAAAATTTAAATAAATATTAATTTGACAAACGAGCGAGGTCTTGCAATACGAGTAGCACGTATACACTTTGTCTGCCGAGCGTCACGTGATCACAACTTATATACGAGTGCTTTGATATACGAGTGCTTTGGTTTACAAACAAGTTTCTGGAACGAATTATGCTCGCAATCCAAGGTTTTACTGTAGCTGTTTTCAGAAGAGACCTGGCCACATATGATATTTCAAGGAAGTGGTTTATCATGTGGACATTTATAGCAGTCAAATCATCTCAAAACATTTGGATTCTAAATGTGGATGGAAAAACCGGAGGACCTGGAGCAAAATCCACACAACCAGGGAGAACATGCAAACTCCAAATATACAGGCATCAGGGTCGGGATAGAACCCATGACCTCCTGCATACCAGGCGAGGGAATTAACACCTTGCCACTGCGGCAAGGGCCTAAGGTTTCATTTCCAGTTCTGCTCGCACTATGGGTTAACATTTTTTGGAGACATCTGAGAAAATGCAACTCATGGATTGCCATTGCATGTCAGTAGCTTCCACTGAGTATATATTCTGTATAATGTACCACAGCAGCTAAGCTAAGCTGTGTACGGTAACATCTGGATAGGTGGCTGTACAAAAGTGTGCGGTGTTATATCTGGGCATTATTACATGCGAAGATTATACAAGTTATTGCTGCAGATGAAAACTGCAAGTAGTTACCAGTGTGCCTCATGTGGCGCCGCTTTCCGACGCGATGTCTTGCGCTTGCGGGGCTCAGCCTGGTGATGGGGGTGGCGTGTGTGGGGTTGGTGGGCTGGCAGTGGGTGTGCGGGATGGTTGGCCAGGGAGTCCATCCGTGGCGCATCATCCCTAGTTCTGGGAAGCACATGCACGAACAAAAAGATTGCACAAGGTGTAAAAAAAAATTCAGAAATACAATAGGACATAACTGCCTGGTGGTTTTTGACATGTCCAGTTATTAGGTCAAAGGCAATTATACAAAGCCACAGAGATGAAGCTTGCAGAACCACCAGAGTAAATGTTATAGGGTAAGATTTATTGTGCACAATGATAAAATCTTGTTTTGGACTAATTATAGTACATAACGGAGTCCTGCATCGGGTTGGGTTAACCGGAGGTACTCATGGATACCCGCACAGTGTGTCAGAACTAAGTTGATTCCCGGATTGCAGTACATAGGTAAGTACTACCCTCTAGTATGGACTTTAGAGATTTTAGACCAGTTAAAGCATCAGAACAACTGGGCACAAACTGTATTCCATGAGCAGCTAGCGAAGGATGCTAGGTTTAGTGATGCGTGTTGTGTGTGTCGCTATTGTCAACTTTTCATCACATTTGTTGGGAAAACTGTTACGTTGTTTATATAGCATTGTTTTAGTAAGTTTTAGAGGGGCTTGGTTTGGCCCAATTTTTTTTATTTAGTATAGATTTATACTTAAAATTTTGATCTTTATTGTATTATGATTGCTATTGGGATCAAACATCGAAATGGAATTTTGTGCACTTTTTGTACGCAGCATGGACGGGTTGTGCTTTTTCTGTAGGATTTTATTATTTACGTATGTTATGTTTAGATGTGTACAATGAATTTTAGGTGTATCTTGTAATTTTATTGTTTGTTGCGGTTGAACCCAAATCAAGAGCCGAATGGCTCACAGGGTAAATCCTAATAAATGAAACTGAAACATCACTGCACTCGGAAAGCATTTTCGTTTAAATGAAGACATGGATCCAACCGATCAAAGTGAAGGAAATCATTATCAAACACGATCTATCAACTGCTGAATGAAGGCTTGCCGAAGTTGTTGCCAACCCTCAATCCATCGAGCTCCAAAATATGAGTTTATCTCATGAGCATCTTGTGCCTGTGTCCCCATTTGTCCGTCACTCCATTGTTAAGTCTCGATCATCATCCCTTCAGGTGAAGTCAATGATAGCTAGTTTGCATTTGTTCTCCAACTGATGTGTTCCTCTTAATGTCACTCAGTCTAATGCCACGGCATCCACTTCTCCATACTCCCTTGCACACTTTTTAGCTTTTGTTCCATTTTCTACGCAGTGCACATGTTTACGATCCCTACGTCATAAGTCAGGTTATATGCCGTAGTCATTATAATATCTAATGCAAATTAAAAGGAATCAATGCAGAAATGTGCAAAGAAAGCGTCAAAGGTGGACCTCCAGATAATTAGAAGTAAAACAAAGTTACGTGCAACAAGTTTGCTAAGCAAATTAAAGTGTTAGGACAACTATTAAAACACATGAGTATATATGCATATATACCTCCAGCAATTAGTGATGGAAGAGGGATCAAACTTCTTAAATGAGGTGAGCAGAAGCGGATTTGGAGTGCTTTTGTAAAACTGAATTTTATAATGAAAACCAAAACACTAAAGTGCTTATAAAGTTTTAAATCGGTGAAAATATCATATGATAAGTACAAAAATATACCTATGTACAACCTTTTCGTCAATCCACTGCTGGACGTATGGGTTATTTAATCGTATTTCACTACGCGAGTCAGCGTGGCTTGGTGAAGGCGGAAAGCATAGACGTGTCAGCATAGTACAATACAGCAATGGATATTGCTGGACTGGCCTCTGCTGCCCACCATGTAGCGCAGAAGCAGCCTACAACCAACTCATGGTCCACTTTCTCAAATTACCTCGGCTACAGAAGCTTTGCGCAGCAAGACTGGTGTTAATGGTGTTACGGCTGAGATATTCAAAACACAGACCGAGTTCTGGCCAAATAAGAATACCAAAGAAGATGGGTGAGTCCAACAGAGACCTGGGAGATGTTCAACAAGGAAATTGGACCGCACCAACTGTGTTCATCTCGCACTCACCGCACACATGGGTGTTGGCTGTGCACACGTATCTATAATAAAGTGAATAACAATGGCTCATTCATGGACTCTTGGCGTGGGTGGCAGGGACATGGTGGGGAAAACTTGATAAATTTGAAGCGTTGTGTTTTCAATGGTCATGAGATCTGAAACCAGACCATGTGACAATGAGGAAGCAATTTTTATCCTGTATATAAAAAAACTATTTAAATCGTTAAAAAACACATCTTGCAGAAGTTTTTTTAAGAGTTATTTTTACAAGGTATCTGGGCACATTTGGCCTAGATGCAGGCAAAAACTATTTTGCAAATGTCATCACTTACAGCATATGAATATGCATCCAATTGTTTGTTCGGTGTACTACAGTGGTGGGTGCCACAGTGTAATGAAAACTGTGCAGAAGGAAAAAAGAAGTAATCAAGCAAATTCAGTCATCTTGTGTCATGTTTCTCCGAGGCTCTACGGCGTAGTTGTTCTATGCGTTCAGCAAACCTGACCTTGCCTACCAGCAGGTTCTCACCGACATTTGTTGCACAATTCAAACATCCACTCACTTGCGCAAGATAATGACAGCTCTCCTCTGCTTGATGTCTTGAGGACGTATGCAGTGCGTGATTTCATCCGCAGCATACCCACTGAAACGAGATAAGGCACAAAGCCCACATATAAGCCTCTCCCCTCCCCAAGGCCGGTTAAAAGCTTTCCAATTTTGTCTCTCTGCCTACAGTTTGATACAGTACAGGTGAAAATGGTGAACTAAGTTTTATTTATGCATCCTGTCGATTCAGTGAACCTTTGCACTTCTATGGGACCTCAACAGGCACCAAGTCTGGACACAGGCACTGCAATGTGTTACCACAACTTTGCACCAAATGGCGGCTGCTGCTGCTGCTTATGCACGGAAGGAAAATTAATGCACGAATTAAGTCACTGAAGGTAGATGAGTATGTAACGATGTGAAAGCTCAGTTAAATTTACTCTCCTTTTCAAAACCACGAGAGACTATTTTGCAGGGTCCTTTCCTTCCTTTTTAAGCACAAGGGTTTGCCATATTAAAAGTGCATTCAAATTAAGCACAAGGTTTTACCATATTAGGAGTTAAATAGTATTTTACATGACAGTTAATTAGTTACGCAAATAAAGTCTTAAATACAACAGACATGCAGGATATTTTTAATACATTACAGTACCCCGGGGTTTACAGATTGAGGTGCACTTGTGGTGATTGCTATATCGGGGAGACAAAGCGACATGTCTCTGACCGAATTCGCGAGCACAAATCAGATTTGAAACACGGCAGAACGAATTCTTCTGCCGTGGCTGACCACTGTTACAACGCTGTGGGTGATCACGATATAGTGTTCTCCGATACCAAGGTCCTTTGCAAACCTATAGGTTATCATCAGAGATTTGTCCACGAGGCAATTCAGATTTACAAACACAGACACAATTTCAACCGAGAAGATGGTTTCAAATTAAGCAATCATTGGAAAGATGTTCTAAATCATACCAAACATGAAACTAATTTTCAATGGTAAAGTATATTTATCCAAGTAGTGATATACCAAACTTTCACAGCAGCTTATTTCCCTTCAAAACAACGTTTGTAAACTCCCCTCCCCCCCCGTGTTAGGTGCTCTATCAGCACTTTATGCTTATTCATTTGTCAAAGCGTTTGGTTTCCTCCCACACAGCTTAAAGGACGCGACCTGGCTTGACTTTCTTAATTTCAACGCTGTCTTCGTGACAGCACGGTCCCTTCACCTGATGAAGGCCACTTGTGTTGTGTCCGAAACGTCGTGATTTTTGTTGTTTTATTTTTTACCTACGTGACTTTACCGAATAGACCCAAAGAGTATGGATACTTGCAGTCACGAAAGCTTCAAATCTAGAACATTGATGGGTGGCCATCTTTAAAATTTGGGATTTGAAAAATGACAACCACACAATGTTCCACTTTACCGAGTGACAGGAGTTTAACATCCACTTTACAGCAGACGGCAAGCACTCCATGGCTCATTTTTCACACAAATTTCCAAATGGGAATGTGAATTAAAATCATTACCTCCACAGAAATAGACCCAGTGGACAAGAGCAATTGCACATTTACTGCCCGGGCAGCCAAAGGGAATCATGAAAAGCAACCTCACTTATTGGTTGTTGGCATTTATGGCTTAACCTGCTGTTCTCTGGATAAACAAATTCCAAATAAGCTGAATGCCACCAAAAAAAACACTGGCTTTTGGCAAGCATAAACAGGGATTATTTTTATGCGTTTTCATTTATAGCCGGCAAACTTGTCAATTCAAGTCAATTACTCCGGGACATAAAAAATGATTCATAATAAAGGTTTTTGGGTTAGATCGCGTTATTTATAAATGTGTTGTAACCCTCCACCACCCGACACGGCCAATCAGCAAAAAAAAAGTGTCACGTTGACAAAAGACAAATAATTCACTACTTTAGCCCACCGGTGTGATGAGTGAATCCACAACATTTACAGTTTGAGTACGACGTTTCGCTGGTAAATACATCCAGCATCATCGGGCAATTCGCCAGAAGAGTAGTGAATTATTTGTCTTTTGTCAACGTGACACTTTTTTTTTGCTGACTGGCCGTGTCGGGTGGGGAGGGTTACGACACATTTATAAATAACGCGATCTAACCCAAACACCTTTATTATGAATAATATTGGTCGCGAAAGCCTACGTGTTAAACTCATAAAAAATGATGTCTGTTCCAACACCTGCCACGCTCATCATGACATGGTAGTATATTTTGACATTTTCGTGGATGCACTTAATGGGCCGTATTCCCTTACAGACCCCAAGTAGTCCTCTTCTTCTGCTCATGTGGACCCATCACCAAAACGACAACTATTTCAAACGAAAACAAACTCCCCCCACCCAACCCTTACTAGCAGGAGCAGTTCGTCCACCAGGGGCGTTGGGGGAGCCACCCCACCAAGCTGCTGGAGATGAGAAATTATTTTTCTAATAAAAAAACACTTGACTATAGTTTTGTTGTTTGCATTTTTTTTAAATGTAATGCTTCTTTTAACGTGAATTGCCTAATGAATATAACAATTTAAGTTGTTCATATTAGAAACCGCTGCAACACCAGTCTGATTTGTGCCTCGGGGAGGTCTCGGGACGGCTGTGAAGGCGTCCGAGTGAGAGATTTCCCTTCGTTCATTGCGATTAGTTTAGTATTTTAGCCACGCGGGTGAGACTCATTCAGGTGCCGTAAAGGCGCCCATGGCTGTACTGACGATGTCACAACGCTAGGTTGCACTGTGCAAATATAGCAGGTCACGGCCGACACGTGGGTGGGTGTACGACGGCATGTGGCCGCAATTGTACAGTACACGGTGTCTTGGTTGCCTTGACTAATTTGTCGAGTCGTGTCAGCTGATATTTAATTGTTCTTTAGGCTTTTGGCAGTGTCAAAGGGGTGGGGTGTAGTGTGGACTTGAGGGTCTTGGGGGCAGTATTTGAGTGCTGTTTTGTTTATGCCTACCGTTGGTAGATAAGACAGTTCTATCACTTTCACGGGAAGGCCAATAACATGACTCACAACAGCCCTACCGAGTGGAATTGTCAAGAGCCCCCACTGCTTACTAGTCTACCCAGACAACTGGGACAGCAGAGTTCATATCTATTTCAGTGTATGTATATACCTCATGTTGCCTGTTCAATACTCTGGTTCAGCCCCAATGCACCTAAAACCACCTTAGGATCCCTATCACTCCTCTTAGCAAGAACTCCAAAACGTCCCACCTCTCCCTAACTATACCAGAAATATGTATTTGCAACTAACACCAACTGTCCATGAGAGAAGACAAACACTAATCCTAAAAATCTTAGCAGTGTTAAGCATGGTGAAGTGTGACGCAACTGTGCAGGCTGAACACAACTACATTACCGGAAACTAAAACAAACAGTTGAAAGTAACATACTTTATACATCACGTGATGTAAATGGGCTACATTCGGAATGTGTAAATGTAGTTTTGGAAAAAAATATATATTATAAACTGGGGCACCCATCCTAGAAAACGCCCAGTAGAGGGCCCTGAATACCATTCAGTTACAGGAAATGTTACAAACTGAAAACAGCATACATGGGTACATTCAATTCACATGACTAGCATGCAGGCCACTTTGGCAATCTCTTGCAAAAAATATACGGTTCAATGACGGGGAATCAATATTACGAATTGACCACAATGAAATCCAGCCACTTTGCCTGCTAACATTTTTTTCTCATGTATTTATGAAGTGTTGTATCAATATTTGAATGACACTACAAATGTCAAGGCAAGAGACTAAGACACATCCTTGCTCGCTTTCCGTCCATTAACATCACATCACCAACAGCCGCAGACATCTCTGCAATATGCTTCTCTTAAGAAACCACGTTGTGCAGGGTGGTTCACTATCTCAGGAAATGTGTGCAGTATTGACACATTTAAGCATGCAATTATGGGGCAGATTAAAGTAACTTTACTCATTTTGCGCTGCCATTGGTGTAAAGCTGTGAACTTGCTACACACAATAAATAACTAGGTCTAATCTGTGATTGACCAGGATTTAAATACAGTGGTATACAATCTCACCAGTGCTGGCTCTGCATTAGCTCTGACCCATTCAGTATGGCCTTAATCGGTGGATTACCTTTGAAACCGTTGGCAAAAGCATGAGGCCTGCCCCTTCCAACGATTAAACTAAAATATTATCTGCTTTGCAGACACACAGCTTGCTATATCCTTGGTGCATCAAGACGTCCTCTTTCAGCAAGAGTCGGAATTACAGCGCGAATACAATAACAGCCTCTGGCAACGGTGGCATTTTGTGGTCAAAGCATCGGCCGCCGGCCCTCCAGGTCGCGCACTCGCCTGAGCACGGTGATGCAGCCGCGGGCCACGGGCACGGACAGCACGGGCTTGGACACGCGGATCGGCTTGAAGCGAAACTTGCAGCCGAAGCAGAGCGCCGAGTCGCTGAAGAAGGACACCGACACGATGGGCCGCTCGAAGATATGTATGGGGTCCACGTGCGACACGATGCACCCGCCGGGCAGGTAGTCGTTGATGACGGCCGAGTTGACGAAGCCCGTGGGCACCACGCCGCGCCGCTCAAGGGGCGCGATCACGAGGTCGCGCACCCAGCGAGGGATCTCGTCCACGGAGCCGCGAGGCAGCAGCCGCTCCTGACCGGGACCGCGGCGTTCGAGCTGCGCGCCGTACGAGTAACCCTCGCCGAAGAAGTACTTGACGCGAAGCGGAGCGCGGTCAACGGTGCCGGCGCGGAGCGCGCCCGCCTCGCCGCGCCGCACCACCTCGTCGATGCAGCCCTCGATGCGCGCCACCTCGGCGGCGGAGAAGGCGCTCACCTGGCGCACGCCCGTGCGCACGAGCCTCGCCACCTCGTCCTCGCCGTCCTCCTCGTCCATCGCCACATCCACAGCCTTGCACTCCTCCTCCGCGTCACGCTCGATCGCCTCTTTCTCCATCTTCACCTCGTCCTCCTGACGCTGTTGCTTGTCCGCACCGCGCGGTGCCTCTCGAGCCCGGGCCGCCGCTGTCACCGCAGCCGCCGCCGCCGCAGCAGCCGCAGCAGCAGCAGGAGCAGGAGGAGCAGCAGGAGGAGCCTCCATCTCGTCGTGCTCGAGGCCGCGTTCGCACAGCTCTGTGGCGGCTGTCTCGTGCTGTTTGTTACGCTGCTGCTGCTGCTCGTGCTGCTCGTCCCTCTCGTCGCGCTCGCTCCTGTGCTGCTGTTGTTGCTGCTGCTGCTGTTGTTGTTGCTGTTTGTGACGGAGTTTGTCGCGCAGATCCCCGAACACGCGCGCCGCCGCCGCCATCGTTCCCGCGTGCGCGTTCTCCCCCCCCCCCCTTGCCCCGCCCCGCCCCGCCTCGACGCCTTTTTACATTTCCCACAGCGCTCGCGCGTCCCATTGGCCGAGCCGCTTGGACGAGCACCTCCACGTGCCGGCGGCGCAGGAGCCAATCGCGGGCCGCGCACCGTCCATGCGATCTACGAAATGCAACCGGCGGACGAGGGGGGTTTTTTTTGGGGCCCCTCCCACGTTTGCACGTTTCGCGCATTCTCATTGGCCTGGCAGCGCGCACGTGGGCTCGCGCGCAGCCAATCGCGGCGGCGCGAGATTGCGGTAAGAAATTTCCGCCAGCGTTTACCGTGCTGCGAAGCGTGGCGATTCGATTCCGATTGGATTATTGGGGAAAACTCGATTCTAGACCCAACAGCGGAACGAATCGAACACCGATCGATTAATGAACAATTTCTATTCCCTCCCCCTCAACTTGTGCAACGGACCAATTCGACTCCAACTGGCACTGTGTTGTGTCCATTATCGATTCCCAGTTTTCTTCACTCGCATGTCGTCACTAACAGTTACAACAACAATAAAACATCGTCAAACGATTTAGATTTAAAGCTTTCGTGACTGCAAGGATTCATCTTCTTTGGTTCTTTCGGTAAAGTCACCACGTAGAATGGGAATAAAATAATAAAATAAAATAAGACAATAAAATTCTCACGACGTTTCGGCCACAACACAAGTAGCCTTCCTCTTTGGTTGTATTCGGTAAAATCACGTAGCTAAAAAATAAAACAACAAAAATCACGACGTTTCGGCCACAACACAAGCGGCCTTCATCAGGTGAAGGGACCAGGCTGTCTCGAGGACAGCGCTGGAGTGAAACAGCCTGGTCCCTTCACCTGATGAAGGCCGCTTGTGTTGTGGCCGCAACGTCGTGACTTTTGTTGTTTTATTTTTTAGCTACGTGACTTTACCGAATAGAACCAAAGAGTATGGATCCTTGCAGTCACGAAAGCTTAAAATCTAGAACAAGTAGCCTTCTTCAGGTCGAGGCTCAAAAGAAAGCCGTCCCTTGGTGTGGACCAATCAGTTTCAAGAACAATGCATATATTATCATTGTGTGTTTTTTGTTTGCATTTTGACTGCAGGTATTGTGGTTAATGCAGACATGAATCCTTGTAAAAAAAGGTTTCAGTTTTGTTGCCAGAAAAAAGGGGAAAACCCCTATTATAACCAAAGAAGATGTTTCGCAGTGTTTGTGAGTGCTGTGTTTATTATTTTCGCCCGGTTGGGGTCTATCCGAATTTTAGTCTCTTCTTTGAGTGTAGACAATGGCCGTATCTGAACGGGACTTGAACTCTGAATCCCGTCACGGCACTGGAGGCGATCGGTTTTTCCCACTTCAGAAGCCGAGCCGTGCCGCTGACGTCACACGCAACGCATAATTTTAGCCCCGAGCCAGAATCAGATTGTCATGTGAGGCCAGCGTAACACGTTTTCATAGTTGTCGACCCACGATCACATTGTTCTGTGAAGCCAGCGTAGCACGTTTTCATAGTTGTCAACCCAGGATCACATTGTCTTGTGAGGCCCGCGTAGCACGTTTTCATAGTTGTCAACCCAGGATTAGATTGTTCTGTGAGGCCAGCGTAGCACGTTTTCATAGTTGTTAACCCAGGATCAGATTGACTTGTGAGGCCATTGTGGCACGTTTTCATAGTTGTCAACCCAGGATCAGATTGTCTTGTGAGGCCCGCGTAGCACGTGTTCATAGTTGTCAACCCAGGATCACATTGTTCTGTGAGGCCAGCGTAGCACGTTTTCATAGCTCTCAACCCATACGGTTTACCCGTATTCTTGTACAGGAAATTTTAGTTTCCAGATCCATGCGGTGTACAGCCGTTTCAATACGGGCAAAAACAATTGCCTATTTGTGTGTATCCCTTGTGATGGGACTTTGTAGGATGAATGTTGATAGTTATAAGGGCACGGGGTGACCAATAAGGTCTGAATTGGTCTGTGTTAAGGTAGGGCACTGATAAGGGGTTGAGTGGTTCCGGCTCGGCACGGTAATTGGCCAGGGGAAACCACCCGTGCTGGCTCGGCTCGTATAACAATGTAGTGTAGGTCATGCGTCGTGCCGAAACAGCACAACGCACACGAGGATGCAATTGGTCTGCACAAGCAGACGATGCAGATCACATCATCACAGCAGACGACAAATACCAACCGAGCAGTATCCGGGCTCACAGTGCTTGGCTTTGTTTAACACGTAGGCTTTCGCGACCAATATTCATAATAAAGGTTTTTGGGTTAGATCGCGTTATTTATGTCGTAACCCTCCACCACCCGACACGGCCAATCAGCAAAAAAAATGTCACGTTGACAAAAGACAAACCGAAAAAACTAAGAATATGAATTACTGCAGTCACGAAAGCTTTAAATCAAAATTTAAAAGACAAATAGTTCACTACTTTAGCCCACCGGTGTGTTGAAGAGTGAATCCACACATTTACAGTTTGAGTACGACGTTTCGCTGGTAATCACATCCAGCATCATCGGGCAATTCGCCCGGATGCATTTAGTCATTGTCGTGCTGTACAGTCGTGTATATTAATTCTGAACACGCATTATTTACTTTGTATATGTACTGTATATTGTTAATAATTCCAAATTTATTATGTTATTATTTTTTTTCTTTTCTATCTACGTGACTTTACCGAAAGAACCAAGAATATATAGCAAAAAGTAATGCACTTTTGAACGCAATTGGTTTGAGAGAGTCATTGGATGGGGTATTCTTTTTTCGGCTCCGTTATACAAATAATTTGAGAGTAAAACAAATATATGTGATGTTTCGGTTAAATGTAGGGCGACTTGCTTGATTGTAACAGTAGGACATTTGGCAGCTATGAATATAGCAGCCACTTCGCCGACTGCAATCTCGCCCCACCATGTGGACACGTGTGTTGCAGAAATCGAGGCACACCACGTGTGGATTTGATCACGTTCTGAGGCCACCAAACGCTTGATAAAATGCAACAGCTGCCGTTTTCACAGATACACGTTTATTTTCAAATAAGGGAGAACAGCCTGAGATGTAACTGCACATACAGCAGAACCTCATTACAACACGAAGCATAAACGTGGTTAATGGGAATTACCAGCTGATATAAACTACAGTAGTCCCTATACTGTACTTGATCAGCTAATTAAATAGTGTTGTTAAAATACAATTTAACAGGTTTTTTTTTACTAAATACAGTTAAACACCGCTAACATTACAACAAGCTGTGTTTGGCCTTTTCCTTAATTTTTCTATACTTGTGTGCCACACACAATGCAACATTGTAACAGTGGTGATGTCATTGCAAAAAGAAACGAATGAGTAACATTCTATTTATACTACATTTCCATACATTCTTAGGCAACTAAAGTTAGCTATACCTGCAATCCTGCAGCTTATTAATATGTATTGTTTTCATGGACATATTTACATAAAAAAATAACTTCCGATAATAAAAACGCTAAAAAAACACACACCTCCGACGAGTGTATGAAATAAAATAATTGTTATTTAAAACTTTCTTTTAGTGAGGTTCCACTGTATACAAAACAACTATACATTTCTACTGACTGGCTGAAAGGTGTCGTGTTTATTACTCATTTTAACTGCACCTACACTACGAAATACATGACAGTATCGTGTAATATGAATTCTAAAACCTCGTGTACCTGTAAATCTATTCTACAATAATGTTATATTATTCATGAATATTACAAATTTATTGCACTCACGGTTACAGGACTTTACTTTAATAGTTGCTGATATATTCGTTTTTTGTCTATAAGCTGCATGCATTCTTAAGTCGCAATAAAATGTAATGTCAAAAAAGTAAAAAATGTAAAAACGCAAGTTTACATATTTACTCCGCATGCTAGTGTTCATCATTATTCTATATTGTAAACACATGCAGCAAAATGCATTTCGTGAATTCGTGTTATTAAATACAGCGTCATCCATGCAAACTGCATCTCACAACGCAATGCAATCCGCAAACACGAACGGTGCATATATTGAGATCTTTTCAGCCAATTAACGAGTGTTTATACATATCCTATGGGATCTGTGTGGGGAATATAAAATCCCATTCAGTTGCCACTCATGACAGCCACATTCCTAGGAACTCGGACCAGCCACACAAAGACACACAATGCACACAACCAATATAAATTATCAGGTCATGTGGCTACATCTGTGCCTAAACCTTCTTCATGCTGTAATTTTGTTTTATAATTTAAAGTTGCATTTTGCAACCTTGGAATCTGTCTAAATAAACGACTACCTGTAGAAGTTCTAAATAATGTATTTGGCATGCCACGAAACATGTTTATAACTCTCTGCCAGCAAACTAGTCTCGGTGCATATGCAGCCCCTTAATCAATTGTGGCTGCGTTGGGTAACCTTATTTTGTAGCAGATAAACATTTTCATCAAACACAAATGTAGCCCAATCTCCATTCAGCACACACAACCATATGTTCACAGGGCTGAACGTAAATCAATCCAAGTGTTGTTTTCTGGGTTGAGCTGCATTTCTTCTCTCAAGCGTTCACCCACATTGCTGCGGGCACCTTCAGCACCTGAAGGGATCAATTGAGTAAAGAGCTTCTTTCACTTTACTTAGTCGGCAAATGCCACTCTGAAAGGGTATCTTGCACGTAGTGACACATCTCAAAGCTCTCGTCAACCAGTCCAATTTTTGTTGAGAGAATAAATGGCGCATCTTGGAATTTGACTTACAAATGTAAATTATTATTACATGTAACCCAATCCGGAAAACCACACTTCAATGTACTAATCACTGTTCAATGATAACTTTTAAACACATTTGAAAAACAAAGACAAGACTCGGTATAAATAAAATATATTATCCTCACCATTCATTGCAGATTCCTGGCAGCTAGAAAAAAAAATGTATTCAAGGCACAACAGAAAGTATTAGAGTACACTAAAATGTCTGAGATGTAAAGAGTTTGTTGCAATAAATCATGGGGAAACCCCCAATACTTTCTAGCTGGCAGCTAGGTAAGGGTGCTGTATAAATCCTGTAAATACGCTTTGGTTAGTTTTACAAGGTAACAAAGAGTTTTCCTCATATCCCATAATGATAGAATTATTTTAATAGATTAAATGTAGCAATGAGCTGCGTTTACTTTATGAATATAGCAAGTAAATGTAAGTGATATTTGCATGAAATCATGAAAATGCATTTATGTAAAAACAGATCGTCACACTAGTCATTCCCTTTTTAGTGAAAAGAATATCCAAGGTTTGCACAACAAAGCAGTATCCATTTTAAAAGCATGCAACACACTTTCATACTTTACTTTAAGCTTGACGTTCATAGTATACAGGAAAAATGGCATAGCCATGAAAATTAAGTGACACTCAGTGACACAGCATCCACAAGTTGGTGAAGGCATGGCACAGTCGTCTGCAGAAATCAAAACCTATTATACAGGGCATGCTGGAAATAGCAGCCTACATCAGGTGGCTGGATAGCCGTTTGGTCAGCATGCATGCCACTGAGACAGTTTACATGGATTAAGTTCTCATCTTGTGGGGAATTACAGTAAAGAACTAAATTACCAAAGCACGTATCTACAGCACAGAGGACAATAATATGATAAAGTAAGCTATTGTGTTCCAGTATGAAAGCATTTCTTTCAATGTGTTAAATTAATAACTTTTCAGGTATAAAACAGTAATTCAGGTATGCCTTGGAAATTCTTGTATTGAAGGACAATGAATCAGCGAATGGACTGGTGACTGGGCTGAGATCATTGCCATATTTCGTATTGGCCAACTCATCGGCCCCAAACCAAATTTTCTGAAATTAAATAAATTTCTGTTTCCGTGTAGGTGAGCATCATTGTGGTGTTTAAAACGCATAATGGCAATTATGCATTCAGCTTTTAATTCCTGTGGGATTGTTTAAGATAACTATCAACGAATGTTTTGATGAAACGGGCAGCAGATTCCCACAGCAATTATTGACTGTAGGACTAATAAATAGCTTTAGAAATGACGTTCTCTAATTAAACCGACAGAAGCATTCCCTGCTGCATATCCTACTATTTAACAGTCCTAATACACCACTTAAATAACATTTTAAAGACGACATCGTGAAACTCGAGCCCCAGAGGAAGTCAACATGGTTTTGAATGAGCAAGCACATTAAATCATTGCACCATTGTAACAGGGCTTGATTTGAATATTATACAATTTATAAGTGCACTGAGTTAGGGGATTAGTCATGGAAACTGTAAAAATTATTTTAGTTTAAAATCTTAAAAACGCTTTAAAATCTTTAAACTCTGACCTTATTAAAATTATCTGGTGTCAAAATTGCTTCAATATTGTAGTATTCTGGCCATACAAGTTAATGTAGTTTTATCATGGCAATCTGAAATCCTGATTTAAAGCTTTTGTGACTGCAGGAAGACGATTGCTTGTGTTGCGATCGAAATGTTGTGATCTATTATTTTCTATTTACGTGACTTGAACCGAAAGACCCAAAGAGTATAATGGAAAATCCAGTTGCATTACCTTTTATCATTTGTGCACGCATCCAATTTACACCACTCTTTGTATATTACCTACACAAGTCAATGACTAGAATGACACGAGTGTTCACAAAATAAACACGTATCATAGACCAGGGGTCAAGTGCCAACCCTACTTGTGATAAATACATATTATCGGCATCAAGGCATGAGGCCCAGCAATGCCACTGCAAGGCACAGAACTCCCCAATCACAGCTCTGTGCTGAATGTTATGGTGGAATGGCCTTGGAAGAGACAAAGTATATTTACTGTACTTTCCTTCGCTACAACATTCCTCCTTTAATAGACCCCCCTTACCAGCACCCACTGGATATTTAAGTAGACAAATTGTGTGCTTCCTACGTCGATATTTAAGTTGGGTCATACCAAATTGAGTGCAACTTCCAATGTACTTGATGGTTAAAGTGCACAGCTATCACTGACCAGGCTGATGTTTATCAAACTCACGATATATATGCCAATCTGGTCTGATTGCACCTGAAAAGCTCAGGGTTCTAACGGAAGATCTCAGTGATGCAGACTCTATACGCGAATAAGGCCATAGCGTAAGCTCAGCCAACCAGTCATTACATTATCAATTTCAATGTAGTTGAAAGGTGACTTTGAGGTTCCACTAACAGTTCTTTGTGGGAAACACCAACACAACCTATACATCTGGCAATTTACCAGCATTAATTCAAGCAGTCCTGACTCTCCTGATAAAGCACCGAATGTTGAATCCGGTCCACCATTTGTACGTACTGAACAATGCTCCTGAAATTTAGCACTCCCAGAAATCTGTTGGATTGAAGGGTTGTCTTAGATATACTTTTATTTTTTTATGATAAGAGACGGATAATATGAAGGATAAATATTGCCTGCGTATATCTATTTTGTTCTTTATATTTTCCATAATGATGCAAATGGTTATTTTGGGTTAGAATGCTTATGGTTGCAGTAATGTGCCAGGGTTGTGAATTCTCAGGCCGAGTTTACATCATCTGAGGGTATCCAGACTAACTAAACCAGACGGGTAACCAGACCGCCCGGCCAGCATGCTTCCCATCTACAAAGTCAGCAATCCAACCAATGCTGTGCACAGGTAATGATGCATGGATGGCATTGGAAGTCCAAATGAGTACTTGGATGATTCTTTTATTTTTGGTGTTTCATTCCTCATTTTATTATACAGGTACAGTATATTGTGTAATTATTGTATTGTGTCAGTTGGTTTTATTTTATACGATTTTGTTGTATGTTATCGTTTTTGTGGTGTGTTGTCTAATTATGTTTGTTACGTGTCGGATGACTCCCACACCAATAACACCAGCAAGCAGCCCCAGAGTTCTCTGCAGTTGCCATTTTCTTTTCCTTTCATCAGCCGCCCAAACTCCCACCTCAGCCTGCCCCACGTTGTCGTCTCACATCACAGACCTCGCCGGCCAATTAAGGGTCCCTGTCCTCCGATTCGAGTGCACAGGCGACTGCTTGCATGGTCTGGTGGCATTGCTAAGCAGGTGTGGATGCTCGTACACGGTGAGTCTCCATGGTTGTTCCGGATGCAAGTGAGTCGTGTGAACGCGGCTTTAGAGGATGGTGATGTCACTTGGCGGGAGGCTGTGTCGCTTCTCCCGAGCAGCAAGGAGGATTTCCTGGTGCATGGCGATCACCCGGCACAGCTCCATGCCCTACACGGTGACAACAAAGACAAAGATCCCTCGTACAGCTGAAACTGTTGGGGCTAATGCTGTTAGAGAGCACCTATGAAGGCTGGCATGACGCACAAGGTAGTGTGATGTGGCCAACACCAGTACTGATGCTTACACACTGCCACGGATACTCTTTTAATGCTGAGTCGTCTTCGGGGAGGCCCAGGACTGAAGCAGATAATGCCACAGAGATGTTCGCCGTGCGCAGGATATGAACTCGGTTTTAAAGGTTCTCAGCATGGTACACTAACCACGATGCTACTGCTTCCCTACAGCAACAACAACACCATCAACATGCACAGCATTGATGAGAGCAGCATATGCCATTCACCAGCAAGGGTCTCAAAACATTACACTGCCTTTACAATCCAACTTGTGTTCACTGTATGTTTTTTTTGTACGAGACAGATTATTTTTATTCCCCGAATAAAACCAAATAATGGCAATTAATTGAATCGTGGAGTAGGTGAATCATCACAGTGCCAATGGACAAGTAGAGTGCATCGTTGCATATCCGTCACATATCCGCCCTGACAAATTAACCGCCCCCACCCAGTACATGACTTGTGCATGCCGTACCTGTAATAGACGTCTTTCCTTTTCATACACAGTAATGTGTTAATACCATATGCGGTTACTTCAAAAATCCGGTAATGTATTTTCCATAAAATGTGCTTTATTTTGTATTCAACAATATGTGTAAATGATATAACTGTAATTATCAATTGATGTTCACATATCCGACCTTTACACATATCCACCTCAATCTCAGTCAGTCCCCAGCGAGTTGGATTGGGTGAAGTTCTACTGTGTATACATATTACATTTAATTTTATCTACCCAGGAAAGTCTCACTGAGTATCATGACTTTTGATGAGGGTCCTGTCATGACTGCTATGCAGGAGTCAAATTGCAATTGAGAAGTTTGCAGGTAGTTTTTCTCCCCTTTAAATATTGCACAATCGGAACCAGGACAACAGGACACAATGGCATACTCTTGCGAATGGCGTCACGTGATCTCTAACGTTCACTACGAAGCGGACGATGGGTATTATTACGGCTAATCCACACACAGTATTAATTAGGGTGGCCACTAGTTTCGGACTGTGAACCTCTGCGACAAGCGGCAAATGTGCTACTGCTAGGCTACGTCACCGCCCATAGATTACGCACAATGGCGCGTGTGCACTGTCGATGCTGCTGGTGGCGGGATCGCTCCCTGCCGTGCGCCCTGTGTACCTGCTGCAGCTGCAGCTGCATGATGCGTTGCGACATGAGGTTGCCCAGCATGATCTCCACGTAGGGGATGGTCTCGCCCTGTGTGGGACGCTGCGTGCGCGTCGACTGCACCTCCTGCATGGGGAAGCTCACCAGCACCTCCTGCAGGATAGGGAACACGAGGCCTGGCGTTACCGCAGCGCATGGGCAGGGGAGTGAAGTCTCGTACTTTTTTTTCAACAGCACAATCAAAGCTGCACCAGGGGGTTTGCTGAGTCTCGCCCGGCGCAACTCAGGGGGCGCCAGGTTGTTTATCCACTGCACAAGCTGAGCCACATTGCCCATGCAATGAACAAGTCGAGATGTGTGTAGATGACATGTGACACCATGTCCTCACAGTGTACTGATTAACATCACATGCAATGAACACATCATTAGCCCTGCCCTGGTGCTGATTAGCCCCGAGCCAGATTCATATGACTCGTGAATCCCACACGTTTGGTTCCAATATGGCACGGCAAATAGCCAGTGGAAAACCATCTGCGCCGTGAAGGTGCCGCCCTGGCTTGGCTCGGATATGCCAGTGGAAAAGGGGTATATATGCCTCAGAACAGCTCAGGTTATTGCGTTATCATGAGTGGTAAAATATTCAATGGCTGGTGAAAGCAGCCGATTGTCAATCCACTGCTGTATAATAGCCTCCCTCTGCTGTGCGATTCGTAGGCGCTATTTGACCATACTTTGCCACACTCGTGAGAGTGGGTTGTCAATTGTAAAAGTGGGCTAAATCCCAGTTCCGAAAAAAGTCCAATGCATTCCCATACATTAAAAGTCAACAAAGTGTATTCCCATCGATCCTGTAGCATTGCCGAGCTGGTCAAAACAGCTTTTACAACTCGGCCCAGCCAAATTTCCAATCATACATATGCTTGGACAAATTCCACAAGCATGGAAGCTGAGATGAATATAATTTCAATTCACTCTCTTTCACCTTTCCTAGAAACTGTCTGACATCCCCTGTTTTGGTGGCTCTCGGCTACACAGGCTACGAGAAAAAAAGGTGCAGCCCTGACCCAGACCCATTAACTTGGCGCTTAAAGTTGAGATCAAACATATCAAGGCTTCTCATGATGCTACTGGACCCTACTGAACTCAGACTCGCACGCGGAAATACGAACGCCTGAAAGACTGGGACTAGGAAGCCCTGTGTCTAGCCCTGGCTTTGATGCGCCCTTTACGTGAGTGATGCTGTTGAGGAAGCTCAGCCCCTGCTGGTTAACGGCCAAGATGCACGGGGTGGTGATGGCCGTGTTGCTGCTGCTCTGGACGAAGAAGAATGCCGACCCGAAGAGTGGGAGGGCGCTTGCAAGTCCTGCACGCGGTGCATGGCAAACGGACACATGCGTCACTCCCCCGTGGCGAAGCATCAAGAAAGGGTTTGCGTCATTTACTTTGCCAAAATAAGTACAGCATTTTCTACATACATACAATCTACAAAAGCGTTTCCAGACTCGAATGTAACCGTAATACCTATTGTGGTGTGTAAACATCAGCACTGGAGAAATACAGACATTTCGGCGTGGTGCTGGCCATACCATCTCCTTTGCACCATGCCAGCCTTCATAGGTGCTCGCTATGTCGATGTGTGAGTTTGTGTGAGTCGGCATCCAAAAATGTTTGTCTGCGTGAGCACCATTTGGTGTGTAGAAGAACCTGTGTGTGTGTGTGCGTGAATGTGCGAGTCAGTGTGCAGGGTTATGCGTGTGCACGTTTGCATCCGTGTGTAAGTTCATATGCAGGAGCATGTGCAGTGTGTGTACGTGCGCTCATGCTCAAGTGTATGTGTGAGTTGGGGTGCAGTGGCACTTATGTATGTGCGAGTCAGTGTGCAAGGTTATGCGTGTGCTCGTGTGTGCACGAGTTTGTGCAGCAGCACCTGTGAGTGTGCGAGTGTGCATATGCGAGCGTGTATGCTCATGTCCACATTCATGCGCGCTGCTCACCCATGAACTGCGCTCGAGCTTGATGTGCAGACAACGCCTGCACCTGTGCAGAGTGCTGCAGGACCACACCAAGCCATGACTGAGGCCGCTGCATTCGCAGCACCTGAGCCGGGATGTATTCCCCGACCTCACGCCTGCACCCCGCAGAACAGACACCGAGTTAACCCTACCGTGGCATGCCACCTCCGTGATGCAAACATGTAAATCTCTTATATCTCTTTTACACTGTCGAACTGAGCCGCACCGGACGAGGTACCAAGACATCCTGACGCATCTCTGGAGGCGCCAAGTTATTTTTCAACTGCAGAAGCCTGAGCTGTGCCATTGATGCAACACAATTATTCGGTCAAGGGCAAACAGGTAGTCTTTGTATATGAACATTATGCAGCTCACATGATGTGCGCTGAAACCAACCTAACCTGGCCCATTCCAATTAACCCAACCCTGGGCCAGCCCAGCCACTCCCAGTGCGCCCGGCACTGGCTACTCACTGCGTGGGCTGGTAATCGCTGCCTTTGATGCGGTGCTGCAGGGCCGCCAGCTTGGCCACCTGCTGCGTGAGCTGATCGTCGATGCGGCCCGCGGTCAGCACCAGGAACAGACCATTCATGTACTCGGGCAGGATCTGTCAACGTTAGCGGTCGGAGGAGACAAGAGCATCTCTCAGAGGAATGGTTTGTATCGGTCGTCATCGCTATCATTGTTTACGGCAAAATGCCATGCCTCCCACAGATTGCCACCTCTGCAGTACAAAAACACCAGGACGAACCGTGGGAAGAGCATCTCAGAAGACCAGAAGAAGGGAGCACTACATGTAAGTGCATTGTCTTGAGTGGTGTATTAATATTATTGTAATTCTTATGCAAGTGACAAAAAAAGCAGGACTTTTAACAAAAATTTGTCAAGACAGCTACCTCAAACAGAGAAACAATCCTGAAAAAACGAGCACAGGTGACAACCCTACCTCCTACCACCAGCCAGCCTCCCATGCTGCGCTGTGCACACACTCGGCTGTCGGGATGATCGGGACACCCACCTGGTTGAAGTGCATGCTGATGTAGAGCTCATTGTCGAACTTGAGCGGTCGCACCCACACGATACGGCGGAACCAGAACCGGTGCATTTCGTCCACCTTCTCGGCCTCGGACGAAACGTCAAGGATGTATTCCTTCTTCTGGAGAGGTCGCACCGACTCCCCTGCACACGGTGCAGCCATTATAACACTGCTGCTGCTACAGCACACACAGAGGCAGGGATTCTCCAACTCCATTTCGTGTGACTCACCATAGTACGTCTTTCCAAGGGGGTGGTTTATGTTTTTTTTATGACAGTATAACGAATATTCTCTCTGTGATTCTAGATGTGTTAAAGAATATATTTCCAAAATGTTGTTGCAAATGAGACCATGCTTATGAATTTAAATAAAATTGGAGATTGAGATTTTCAGATGTGAAGGCCTAGTGGCTTAATGGATAAAGGCACTGGCCTCCTAAGCCAGGGATTGTGGGTCCAAGTGCCCACCTGGGGTAGAGCAGTTTGAGTGATTGTACATGTTCATTTAATGAGAGATGGTTTCTGATTTTGTTTTCAAATAAATGCAGATATACATTTAAATAGGCAGTGCAACTATGTTAAATTACTTACACAAATCTATAACTATTTTTAAAAGAACCTAGTGGCGACTCACCACTACGCCCAGGTTCCTCCTCTTTTCCGTGGATTCATATGCAGCCCTTTGTGAATTCCGTATATTGATTTGCTGTATAACGATGCCTGTACTTAGCTCCCTTTAAAAGTGATTGCCATCTCCACATCCTGACAAGAAGCCCTCTCTGCAAGCCATGCCCAGCAGATGATGCCGATGACATCTCGCATTCCAGTACCACGTATTAAACAAAATAAATGCTTAATACAGTCTTGTTTTAGAAACATTGCTTTATGAAACATCAGGGCACCCTGACTAACATGGGTGTATAATACGATATTTCATAACAATGATCGAATTAGCATATGTTCCCATTTTTCTGATTTAAAAAAAATCAAAATCGGGCCTAGAAATTAATTTGTTCCGTATTCGTGATGGTTTGGCGCAAAATTTTAGAGGTATTAAATTTGTACAAATATATACCCGAAATGCTAAACAAAAAACTAAAACCGGCAAAAAAATCCAATAATCCTACGTTTAAAAAAAAATATTTAGTCCGAAATTTATTGCCGACATACCGCGTGGCTGATAGGATGTGTAAACGCAAATGTAATGTAGCTGAAAAAAGAAACCATTGGAAGGAGAAATATCGTCCACTTATATAATTAGTTATTTATATTCTCCACGGCGACGTTGAATGTGTTCTGTTGAGAGTTATAATGGCCCATAGGTGGCATCATTACCATTGTCAACGTTATCGCCGCCACATTCGTAATGGAGATGACGCCCCCTAGGGGCTCCGGGCTATATTCAGGTAGCACAAAGACACTCAAAAGAGGATCGCGATCGTTTCGCTTCACGCAGCGTCCCGCAAAATCGACGCACCGAACTCGGCAAGTCGAAAATGTCGCTGACAAAATGTGAAAAAAACATTTTTGGGCTTTGAGTTTGAATTTGGTACGTTGTGAGCCGCAGTATAAATGTGTGTGTTATAGATGCGGTCACAGTTGTAAGATGCGAGGCTCTTTAAGGCATTTCACGTTTGTGTTTATAACAATGCGCTGTGAACGGAAAAACGCGCCCAAGCTGAAATTCCACCAAATAACGATGTTGGTAACGTACACGCGGTATGAACATAAGGCCCACTGAACGAACCTTTGCATGTACAGCCCCAGTGGCCTAATGGATAAGGCACTGGCCTCCTAAGCCAGGGATTGTGGGTTCGAGTCCCACCTGGGGTAATGTGAATTTTTATTTAATTATTTCCTTATGAAACTATATTTTATATTCCAGATGACTTCATTGTGATATTGTACAAAATGTAAAAAGTTGCCGATGTTATAAATCTATTTGGAGAACATTTCAGGTGATTATCTTGCATTGGTTTTGGGCAGCCAATACTGACACCTAGTGCTTGGCTTTAGCAACTACAGGACAAATTTCGATTTAAAGCTTTCGTGACTGCAAGGATTCATTTTCTTTGGTTCTTTCGGTAAAGTCACGTAGAATGAGAATAAAAAATAAAATAACACAATAAAATTCTCTGGCCGAAACGTCGTGCGAATTTTATTGTGTTATTTTATTTTTTATTCTCATTCTACGTGACTTTACCGAAAGATTGTCATCAGGTGTGTCGGTTTGCATAAATTTAGATGGATTCTGGCTTAGCAATCATTGGAAAGATTTGATAAACCATTTCAGGTCTTAATGGATTGTTCACGCTTACAGTGGCTTTCAGACAGCATACATTAATTTTTCGTCTCCCCCCTCCTCTTTTCTGAACATAGATGAACTCGTCCTTCTAAATAAACTGCCAAATCGCTGCGCGTGGCGCTGACGGTTTCTATAAATAAATATATATAAATACACCGTTTAAAAATAAATAATTTTATACAAACCTGACACACCCGATGACGACCGTTTGTGTTATGGTCGAAACGTCGTGATAATTTTTATTGTTTTATATATTTTATTATTTTATTGTTTCCCTTCAACGTGACTTTACCGAAAGAGCTAAGAATATGAATTACTGCAGTCACGAAAGCTTTAAATCAAAATTTTACCAAAAGAACCAAAGAAGATGAACTACAGGACAATTTTACACTACGATCATGCTCCACCATGGTCATTGCATGCGTTACATCCGCGGTAATGTTTGAGAGCGCTGATTGCAAATGCTCTGTGATAAAATGTTCACAATACATTTTTCACGATATTACGATATCAGTTTTGTGTAACTTTGTAATAATCGATTACACTGAAGAAAAACCCACCACAATTACATGGGCATAACACCTGCTCTTCTGTCATCTCTCAGCTTCTTCAGGTATCTGAAGGCACTAAAGAAGCTACTATCTTAGCATTTCGATGTCCACGTCAATTTCTGAGTGCACTACCTGACGAATCTCATCGCAGTTTGAGTGATATGTCGTATATGCCACCAGTTATGAGCTTTATTACAAAAAAATTGCTAAACACATGGGAACTTATAAAAATATATCTCATTGTAAACGTGACAATCTTGTCAGATGGTTGACAGATAATGACAATAATTTCACCATTAAAACACTAAGTGGTCTTACCCAAAAACAAATACGGATCATCTCACGTAATTTCTCATCCCATCTAAAATGCACGAACACTTTGTATTTCATATTCTTAGTTTTTTTCGGTAAAGTCACGTTGAAGAGAAACTACAAAATAATAAAATATATATAAAACAATATTGTTTATATAAATATATATAAAACAATATTGTTTATATATAAAACAATATTGTTATATATATTTTATTATTTTGTTGTTTCTCTTCAACGTGACTTTACCGAAAAAAACAATATTGTTTTATATATATTTCATTATTTTGTTGTTTCTCTTCAATGTGACTTTACCGAAAATAACTAATTACTGCAGTCACGAAAGCTTTAAATCAAAATTCACTTTGTATTTATTTGTTACAGATTCGTAAACAAAATATAGCATCTTGACTTAAAGCTTTCGTCACTGCAGGAATTCATATTCTTTGGGTCTTTAGGTAAAGCAACGTAGATAGAATGGGTGTAGCTCAAGGGTAAGTGGGCATGGCTAGATGGAATTTGCGTGTAAATGTAAGATCGGAGAGCTGAGCTACCTCCACGACTACGAAGCTGTGGAGGTGGCCATTGTATTGTGAGAGATTAGCACGTCAATATGTCCATGTAAGATTAGCATGTCAATGTAAGAAAACCGGGCGCCACCAAAGGTGTGGAGGTGGCCATTGTATTGTGTGAGATTAGCATTTCAATGTCAGAGAACCACTGCAACGGTGGCTGTGTTAGTGAGACATTTAGCCTGTTAATGTAAAGACATTTAACCTGGTAATGTAACTCAGAGAGTCGGAAATAACTGATGTTTCCATCCTACCTGCCAATGTTAGCAGTTATTTTCGACTCTCTGAGTTACATTACCAGGTTAAATGTCTTTACATTAACAGGATAAATGTCTCACTAACACAGCCACCGCTGCTCCTTTCCCTCGATGTGGCGGTGACTCTCATTTTTTTTTATTTTTCTATCTATGTGGCTTTACCGAAAGACCCAAAAAATAAAAATATAGCATATATGTTTTGCCCACCTAAGAGCATGAGTAAATTCAGCACTATTTCAATCCTTTATGATGTAGCATTGATCACTAACCCTGAGGGGAGGAAAGGCTAATAATCAGTAAACATATTGTGGTACACATTTTTCTCAAATTGACCTTGTTATTTGGTCTGCGGGGCTGTGAACCTCTGTAACAACTATCGAATGGTCAACTGGCTCGGCCATACTCTGCTAACCTCCTGATGACATCACTAAAACAAATATCACTTTGATCAGGAAAAAATGTTTTCTAAACTGTAGTTACAACCTTTGAAACAATATAAATTGGCAAAGGCCAATAAGATCGGATAGGACCCAGTTTCACTCACCTCTGTTGGTGACAAGGAAGATGGCAAACTCCTCCTGGGCCTCCTGCCTATGGAGCCCCATCTCCTGGCAGATCTCCTCAATCACATCCTGCACAGTCTGCACATGCAAAATCGTCATACGACCCATCAACAGGGATCAGATGCAGTGTGATTTTCAGTGTAACGAAACGACGATAGCTCTTATTGGATCAGAATGAATGTGTTTTCCTCTCAATTATGAGAAGCCCCAGTGGCCTAATGGATAAGACACTGGCCTCCTAAGCCAGGGATCGTGGATTTGAGTCCCACCTGGGGTAGCTGAAAAAAAGTTGAGCATTTTGTAACATCAAGATGTCAAGTTGATGAAGCTGACAATGAGAAGCGAATGTGGTACTGTGCCTGTAGAAGAGAGTTTGAAATCAGTGTACTTTGGTGACAATAATCAACATTCATAAAGCAGCGAGGACAAAAGGGGAAAATACATATCCATTTTCATAATTATTGTGCGTTAATTTAAGAAGTCTGTACATAAGCCAGGTTTCATCATGCTGTATGTAGCCCCAGTGACCGAATGGATAAGGCACTGGCCTCCTAAACCAGGGATTGTGAGCTTTGATACCCACCTGGGGAAGCTGAGAAAACACTGTTCATTTTGTAACATTAAGATGTCAAATTTACGAAATTGATGATGAAAAGCCAATATTACACTGTGCCTTCACAAGAGAGATTTATATCAGTGTCCGTTGGTGACAATTATCAATATTGATAAAGCAGAGGGGACAAAAGGGGAAAATACATATGCATTTTTATAATTATTGAGTTAATTTAAAATGTCTGCACATTAGCAAGGTTCTCATCATGCAGCATGTATCCCCAGTGCCCTAATGGATAAGGCACTGGCCTTCTAAGCCAGGGATTGTGGGTTCGAAGTTCCACCTGGGGTAGGTGAACAACAAATATACATTTCGAAAGGTGAAGATTTATTCCACATGTGGTCATTACACTAAGTTTACGAATCTGATAATGAAAAACATCATGCCACTGTTCGTCCAGAGGAGAGTTTTAAATCAGTGTACTTTGGTGACAATTATCAACATTGATTAAGCAGACGGGACGAAAGGGGAATATACATGACAATTTTTTTTTATTATTGTGAGATTATTTAAGAAGTCTGTACATAAGCCAGGTTTTCATCATGCTACATGTAGCCCCTGTGGACTAATGAGTAAGCCACTGGCCTTCTAAGCCAGGGATGTGGGTTTGAGTTCCTACCTGGGGTAGCTGAGCAATGAATGTACGATTTGCAAGGTGAAGCTTTATTCCACATGTGGTCATTACACTAAGTTTACGAATCTGATCATGAAAAGCCAAAATGGCACTGTGCCTATAGAAGAGTGTTTTAAATCAGTGGACGATGGTGACAATTATCAACATTGATGAAGCAGAGAGGACGAAAGGGGATTCTTCATATCCATTTGAATAATTATTATGGGTTTATTTAAGAAGTTTGTACATAAGCCAGGTTTTCATCATGTATATGTAGCCCCAGTGGGCTAATGTATAAGGGGCTGGCCTCCTAAGCCAGGGATTGTGGGTTTGAGTTCCTACCTGGGGTAGCTGAGCAATGAATGTACGTTTTGTAAGGTGAAGATTTATTCAACATGTGGTCATCATGTTAAGTTTACGAATCTGATAATGTAAAACATCATGCCACTGTGCCTTCAGAAGAGAGTTATAAATCAGTGGATATTGGTGACAATTATCAACATGGATAAAACAGAAGGGATGAAAGGGGAAAATACATGTAAAAAACTTTTATTATTGTGAGTTTAAATTTCGGTTTAAAGCTTTCATGTCTGCAGGGATTCATATTTTTGGTTCTTTCGGTAAAGTCCCATCTACGTGACTTTACCGAAAGAACCAAGAATATTGAGTTTATTTAAGAAGTCTGCACATCAGCCAGATTTTCATCCTGTATATGCAGCCCCAGTGGCCTAATGGATAGGGCACTGGCCTCCTAAGCAAGGGATTGTGGGTTCGAGTCTCAACCTCGGGTAGCAGAGGAAAAGTTGTTCATTTTGTAACATAAAAATGTCAAGCTTATGAATCTGACAATGAGAATCGAATGTGACACTGTGCCTACAGAAGAGAGTTTAAAATATATATTTGGTGACAATTATCAACATTGATGAAGCAGAGCAGACAAAAGAAGAAAATATGTAACCATTTTAATCATTATTGAGTGAATTTAGAATTTCTGCCCATTAGCAAGGTTTTCATCATGCAGCATGGAGCCCCAGTGGCCTAATGGATAAGGCACTGGCCTTCTAAGCCAGGGATTGTGGGTTCGAGTCCCACCTGGGGTAGCTGAGCAACAAATGTACATTTTGTAAGGTGAAGATTTATTCCACATGCGGTCATTACACTAAGTTTACGAATCTGATAATGAAAAACATCATGCCACTGTGCCTTTCGAAGAGAATTTTTAATCAGTGTAATTTTGTGACAATTATCAATATTGATTAAGTAGAGAGGATAAAAAGGGACTGGCCTCCTAAACCAGGGATTGTGGGTTTGAGTTCCTACCTGGGGTAGCTGAGGAACAAATGTATCTTAGTAAGGTGAAGATTTATTCAACATGTGGGCATTACACAAAGTTTATGAATCTGAAGATAGTTTTAAATAGGCGTAATTTTGTGACAATCATCAACATTGATTAAGTAGAGGACAAAAAGGGGAAAATATATCCATTTTTATAATTATTGTGAGTTTATTTCAGAAGTCTGTGCATAAGCCAGATTTTCATCATGCTACAGGCAGCCCCAGTGGCCTAATGAATAAAGGACTGGCCTCCTAAGCCAGGGATTGTGGGTTTGAGTTCCAACTGGGGTAGCTGAGCAATGAATGTATGTTTTGTAAGGTGAAGATTTAGTCAACATGTGGTCATTACGCTAAGTTTACGAATCGGATAATGTAAAACATCGTGCCACTGTGCCTTCATAAGAGAGTTATAAATCAGTGGACGTTGGTGACAATTATCAACATGGATAAAGCGGAGGGGAAGAAAGGTGAAAATACATATCAATTATTTTTTCAATTATTGTGAGTTTATTTAAGAAGTCTGTACATAAGCCAGATTTTCATTATGCTACATATAGCCCCAGTGGCCTCATGGATAAGGGACTGTCCTCCTAAGCCACGGCATGTGGGTTCGAGTACCACCTGGACATGGCTGAGAAATGATTGTACATTTTGTAAGGTGAAGATTTATTCAACATGTGATCAATATGCTAAGTTTACGAATCTGATCATGAAAAGCAATATGGCATTGTGCCTTCACAAGGAATATATAAATCAGTGGACGTTGGTGACAATTATCAACATGGATAAAGCAGAGGGGACGGAAGGGGAAAATACATACCAATTCTTTTTTATTATTGTGAGTTTAATTTTCGAATTAAAGCTTTCGTGACTGCAGGAATTCATATTCTTGGTTCTTTCGGTAAAGTCCCTTCCATGTGACTTTACTGAAAAAACCAACAATATTGTGAGTTCATTTAAGAAGTCTGCACATGAGCCAGATTTTCATCCCGTATATGCAGCCCCAGTGGCCTAATGTATAAGGCCCTGGCCTCCAAAGCCACAGAATGTGGGTTTGAGTCCCACCTGGGGTAGCTTAAACAATAAATATACATTTTATAAAGTGAAGATTTATTCCACATGCAGTCATTCCACTAAGTTTACTAATCTGATAATATAATACATCATGCCACTGTGCCTTTAGAAGAGATATTTAAATCAGTGTACGTTGGTGACAATTATCAACATTGATTAAGTAGAGCGGACAAAAGGGGAAAATACATATCCATTTTTATAATTATTGTGAGTTTATTTAAGAAATCTGCACAAAAGTCAGGTTTTCATCATGTGATACGTAGCCCCTGTGGCCTAATGGATAAGGCACTGGCCTCCTAAGCCAGGGATTGTGGGTTCGAGTCCCACCGGGGGTAGCGGGGCTGTGAATGTGCATTTTGTAAGGTGAAGATTTGTTCCACATGTGGGCATTACGCTGAGTTTACGAATCTGATAATATAAAACATCATGCCACTGTGCCTATAGAAGAGAGTTTTAAATCAGTGTAATTTTGTGACAATTATCGACATTGATTAAGTAGAGAGGATAAAAAGGGACTGGCCTCCTAAGCCAGGGATTGTGGGTTTGAATTCCAACTGGGGTAGCTGAGCAATTAATGTACGTTTTGTAAGGTGAAGATTTAGTCAACATGTGGTCATTATGCGAAGTTTACGAATCGGATAATGTAAAACATCATGCCACTGTGCCTTCAGAAAAGAGTTATAAATCAGTGGATGTTGGTGACAATTATCAACATGGATAAGGCAGAGGGGACGAAAGGGGTAAATATACATACATTTCTTTTTTTATTATTGTGAGTTTAAATTTCGATTTAAAGCTTTCGTGATTGCAGGGATTCATATTCTTGGTTCTTTCGGTAAGTCACGTAGAAGGGACTTTACCGAAAGAACCAAGAATATTGTGAATTTATTTAAGAAGTCTACACGTAAGCCAGGATTTAATAAAGTATATGTAGCCCCAGTGGCCTAATGGATAAGGCACTGGCCTCCTAAGCCAGGGATTGTGGGTTCGAGTCCCACCTGGGGTAGCGGAGCTGTGAATGTGCATTTTGTAAGGTGAAGATTTATTCAACCTGTGGTCATTACACAAAGTTTATGAATCTGAAGAGTGTTAAATAGGCGTTATTTTGTGACAATTATCAACCTTGATTGAGTAGAAGACAAAAAGGGGAAAATACATATCCATTTTTACGTTGTGAGTTTATTTAAGACGTCTGAACATAAGCCAGGTTTTCATCATTCTACATGTATCCCCTTTGGCCTAATGGATAAGGCACTGGCCTCCTAACCTAGGGATTGTGGGTTTAAGTCCCACCTGGTGGTAGTTGAGAAAAAGTTGTTCATTTTGTAACATACAAATGTTAAGTTTATGAATCTGACAATGAAAATCGAATGTGACACTGTGCCTACAGAAGAGAGTTTAAAAATATATATTTGTTGACAATTATCAACATTGATGAAGCAG